AGACAGACAGACAGACAGACAGACAGACAGACAGACAGACAGACAGACAGACAGAGGAGTGAGGAATGAACAAGATAAGGAAAGCAGGTAAACGGAGATGGGTGGTAACTGAGAGGGAGAGGAAGAAAGAAGGGAGGAGAAAGAGGAGAGAAATAGGAAAAAATAGTCACCGTTCAACAAATTGCTACCGTGGTCAAGGACGAGAGCGATAAGTCACGGATCGAATCTCTCCACTGCTCGGACTTGTTGTCCCAGGGCGTCCTGTCTTCCGGGCACGAGGACAAATCCCGAGTACCCCGAGTAAATAAATCACGAGCTCGGGATGAGAAAACGGCTGCGGGCTACAGCAGGTTGTGGCATTGTGGATTGTGGTAGCCACTGGCCCACTGGGTAGTCAACGAGACTTGATTCTTAACGAGAGGGCTGGTGAGGTTTTGTATGTTCGGGAAAAAGGCTTAATGATATCGCGGTCATGTATTACCACATAATATGACCTATTGCAGTATATTATAATTACTATTGGCAAGTTGTTCAACTATTGGTTTAAGTGCAGAAAGCAATATTTTTCAAGAGAGGGAAAAAAACGCTTTTTCATTCTGTAGGAAATTGCACCTAAATAATGTTGTTGTATCTTTTCCTGCTTTTTTTCTCAACATTTAGAATATAATTTTCCTCAAGATACTTAACGAGTAAGCTTACATGCAAATAATACCATACATTCAAACAGTGTACTGCAATCTTTACGTATAGAAAACTCTGGGTTTAGTTTATCTGAACAGCTGGTCGAGGACATGTTCTTATAATTTTATCTCTTACTTGGTAATATCATAGTCTGGTACCGAGTACCACACTCCGATGAAAAATAGACTCGTTCACCTTCGATAGCACCGACCCACGAAAGCTCCTCAAACAATCGAAGTTCAAAAACGACCTCATACGGCTAAAGCAGAGTTTCCGACACTGCAGCACTTTACTTTTATCAAATGAGATAATTTTCTGAAAGATGGGAAGAAAAGATCAAATTAGCTCATTACATTGAACAGGGACTCGTAAGTTTCGGGCAAAAACATATGATAGAAAAGGTCAATGGGAGCCACAATTGACAGAAAGACTGGAGTGTGGAGGAATGAATTTTATTGAACAGTGCAGATCTTTTCTTTGTCGCAAACCATTGGGTGTGGGGGAAGATTTGGGGGTTGAAATTTAATCGACCTCTGTCAAGTAAGAAGAAGAAGAAGAAGAAGAAGAAGAAGAAGAAGAAGAAGAAGAAGAAGAA